TCGCAGCGCGAAGTGGCAGTCATTAAAGGTCACTTTCTTTATTCGGGTGAAATTTTGAGCGCAATTTTCTTGGGGAGAAGCGATTTTTTTGGTGGAATCGAATGAGAGACTTGAGACTACCTGACATGTTGAAAATAAACAGCTGTATATGAAGTTTTATCAGTCTCTGTCACAACTCAGAACAGAGGATCCTCCCTTTTTTTTCATGATCTGACGCTGCGATCAAACAAGGTGACCACAACAGGCGGAAATCTGTTTGCGTGGAGGCTACTCTTTTCGTATGATTGTCATGTTTCTCTTTGTCTAAATCTTCTCTCCCACGCGAAGTTCAATGCGCGACCCAAAATTTGCTCATTGATGAACCCGTGCAGTGTCCCTTCATGAATCGGAGCCACTCTATCAGCGGGTGATTTTCGGTTTGAATCCCGAGGCGTTTTTCGAATGCATGAGAGAAGAATTGAAGTCTGTTTGCCTTGGTTACCTTGATTAGAGCAGTCCCTCATTTTTGTAAGGGTTAGGTTGAGTGGCTGAACACGCTAGCGAGCGAGCGGATAATTCAGCTGGAAGGAAGGGAGACGCGCCGATCTACTCGCCTAATCCTAGGTTCTTTTACTTATGATGCACTATCACAAATGAGCAAGCCATTTATAGTAAAAAAAAAACATTTATTGCAGCCACATGGTTACTTATTACAGAGGTAAGTCAAGTAAAACGACACTGTTGGCTGAAAATAAGGAGAAAAAAAACACACTCGACCTATAATACAACGTTTAAAATACGAGCTGAGTGTAACAGATAAATTAATATGTACATCTTCGCATGCAAAATTTCTCTGTTCAAACCGTCAAATCAATGACCCGCCTTGCCCGTTCTTTCTTGGTATGGGATTTACAATAATACTTTCAATACACTCAAACACAGTATGGATATCTTGATCGGCGTTTATGTGCTGGCCGGACTCCTCGTAATACTCTGCGATCTCCTCGATATAGGCCTGGTAATCAGCAATCCGGGAGTTAACCGCTGACTCGACGTCTTTCGCGCTCTGCCAGGAAGTAACAAAATACACTGTGAGTGAACAGTGCACACCGATCGAGGTTATGACAGACATGAAAGTTTCAAGAAATTTCCTTCACTAACCGTTTGTAACCTCTGTTTCACTTCATTTGTTCGAGGCGGGTTGTAAATCAGATGATATCTAGAGAAACCAAGAAATCACTTTTAATATTCAGAGCGAACGATTTAGACCTTAGACAGAAAATATAAAAATATACTTAAGTTGTTGCTCGCCAGTGACCACACCACCAGTACCTCTCGCTCCTGCATCCCCCCCCCCCCCCCCCCCCCCCCCCCCCCCCCCCCCCCCCCCCCCCCCCCCCCCCCCCCCCCCCCCNTGAGAATAAAATCTAATGCCTGTTGTTTTTAACTTTGGATAATGATAAATGAGTTGTTTTGGGTACCAAAAATAAGGGTCAGCTATGATTTTTCGGAAGTGTAATAAGACCCAAGGTTTTTGGTAAATGGACAAAGCAGCCCTTATAAATTTGACAAAGACTCGAAGGAAATATGTGGCTCTCAGTAAGCTAAAGGGAGGTTTAATATAATTTTAACGCTTTAAAGAATGGGAAGAAGGAAACAAATCAGTATTAATTATTATTTTCTTACCATTACTTTCTTGTTCAAGAAGACCTATCATATAGGTCAAAGGGTCTGCTGGCCGTTCTATGATAAGCCTGGTCAAGAGTGACTGTAAACACAAGATATTCAGCGGGTAATTTATTTGAAGAGCTAAATATGAAAGATAACATTCCTTATTGTAAGCAATGTAGCAGCCAAGGATGAGCAGTGGTTCAGGGCCATTCTATCTTATATCTATACTCCCCTTCCCCATTAATTTCCCAATGAAGTACAAGTCAAATTCACACTGGCCCCCTACGTAGAGCAAAGATCAATGGAAAGTGCTAACAGGATGTTCTCTTCAGCAATAGCCCATTTTTTTCACCTTGTCACCCCACTCCTACCCCACTTCACCCAAAGGCAAGTTTCTTTAAAACACCCTCAGAGCTGTGCAACTTCAGGAGATCTGGGGGAAGCAGGGGGAAGACACAAAATAGAATGGCTCTTAGTGCAGTACAGTGTACGTACATATAACTCCAAGTATACATACACCTGTAGGTAGCAACTGTATAGATGGTCAGGTCACTGGCCTAACATGTTGCTTTAATCTTTATCTTTAATAAGTATACTCCTGAAACAGTGGAACTATACTAGGAGTTGAAAATAACATA